ACCCATCTTCATCTTTTTGCTTTCCCTGCTATTGTTGATACTATTCCACAGACAGGTTCTTCACCCCTTAACTCTTCGACTACTAGTGGTAACCCGATTTACAAAATCATTGCTCCTAGTCCTTCAAAACCCTGCTACTATTGTCATATTAGAGCTTTCGATGTACAGACCTTACGTCGAATCGAACAACAAGCTCTCCTCTAGTTAAAAAAAACTTTCCCATCTAGCGCTGTGGATGCGTCTCGTCTGACTGACTGACTGGTTTCAACATAGAACTTTGCACAGATGTGCAGCAGTTCAAGTCGCCACACTTCACTCAGCACACAAAGCCAGAGAAGAAAGTAAAAAGAAATGCAAAATAGAGACAGTAAACAGAGATATGAGACAAAAAGAATAGTAATATGGAAGAACAATATAGTTTTATTAGGTATTATAAGTCACAAGGAGTGGATGCATCTGCGCTGTCATTGAGAACGATTTTCAGTCATATCACCGATTGTCTCCAGCCGTCACTGGTTTTTACCGTCCCGAGGACCCTAACCAGTCAGGAAGTCTACACCTCCCTCCATACGTGACCAGCTGGCTTAAACTAACTGTTGTGGATTTTCATTGACTGATGAACCCATGTTTTCGTTTGACCACCACTGGCTCTTTTCCAACTTGACCCTATGTCAGCTAACATTGCCCTTTGTCGAGGAAGGCGATGGCTAGGCAGGCATACGTAACACATTCCCTAGCCATCTCAATCGATATTACTTCACAGCCTCATCTATTGACTTCCCCTCCCTCCTTACCTAGCACTCGACCGATGCCTAACCTCAATATTGCTCACATTACTATGTCACTTCACCTGGAGATAGAATGCAGACACCTATGATCAAAGACAGTTAGCTGGCCTTTTCATGTCTTCCACTCTTAACGACCAGGTCTCGCAGCCATACAGGAGGACAGAACAAACTGCTGAGTAGTATATACGACCTTTGGTCAACAGCCAGTCGAATATCACGTCTACGCCAGAGATGGTGTAAGTTGTCATGTGCCAAACGAGCCTTCTGTATTCGTGCCGGGATCTCGTGAGCGATCAGCCCTCTGGCATTGGCTGATGCAACTTCCCAAATAAGTGAAGTGGTCAGCACGCTCCACCAACCACTTCACTTCCTATCTTCAAGCTGCGAGTCAATGTAGTCCAGTCCTGTAGCATCATCTTACATTTGGCGGGAGTGAATCGCATGCCAAACACTTGCAGATTGCAGCTCACGGAGTTCAGAAGACTCTACATTTTGTCAGTGTCTTCACCTAGAAGGACTATATCATCTGCATATTCTAAGTCAACGAGATTATTCCTTGGTGGTAACTAGTCAATCCCTGAGTCGCTAAAGTCAGCATTTAGGGTAAAGTCCATTAGTACATCTATGATGAAATTGAATATAAATGGAGATAGTGATTTGGCATCCGTGACGGACACCACTGGCTGTAAGCTTTCACCTGGCTGCATGAGTTCGAGTAGACTGCCTTGATCAATGCAATGTATTTTCGCGACAGTCCCTTCACAGCCAAACATCGCCATAATACCTCTTGGTCGACAGAATCGAATACCACCTTTAGGTCAAGAAATATGACGATTGTTGGACGCCAACAGTAAGTATGCCTATCTTCCAGAATCTGTCAAAGGGTGAAGATATGATCAATACACCCTCTTCCTGGTCTCCCTTCTTGTATATCTAATGCATGTTGTAATGGGAGGATATGGCATCGATGCAGACTTATCTTGAAGTAAGATTCTATACTTGGGAAGTGAGAAGTGCGGGCATCCTTACCTCTACACCTACATACAATTTACTGATAATGTCACTAGGATTGATTGAAAGTCGAAGTTCTTACTGTAACACACAATTGTCTGGTTACTTCTTTCTTTGTAGGCGCTTTGCTTTAATATTAATAAAAATTCAGGTAGGCGAGCTTATCTAATAGTAGTAGTAGTTAACTTTCCTTCCGACTGAAATGTATAATTAAAGTAGTAAGTGAAATCACTAAATCTATAAAAAAAAAAGTATATATAATGGAAGAGATCCAATTATCTCTTGTTAATAAGGAGAGTATGATTTGCTTACATATATATTGTTGAATTGATTCACCCATCACAGTAGAAGAGTTTCCTCTCTTTTTTTTATCGGTCGCACAATTGTACCTTTTTGCCTGTTCTGATTTATACAACTACTGCTATGTTACTGTATTTTGCACACTAATATGTGTCTATCCGTAACATTCAGATAACTAACAACAACAGTCTCTTTGTTGTCTCTCTTCCTATAAAAGAAGTGTAACATGTATGTAATTTTGTTGTGTAATGCCTCCTAACCAAATGTAGTGAGAGAATTCCCTGAGTTACTTACTGATTGATAGTGTTGTCATTAACAAAGATAGCTTGCTTTTCGTTGTGTTGTGTGTATATGCGTGTTACCTTGCCACTCTCTTACCTACCTATCTACCTACCTACCTATTTGTGAATGGCTTAGCTTTGCAGTTTGTTTGAATTCTACACCAATTATGTAGATATATATATATACATAGTTTAGCGTTGTGAGTAATTTGCATTATTGGGTCAACTTTCATAGTATGGAAATAGGATTGTGCAATCCTAGCTGTGTGTACTCATTGCATCCCCCCCCCTCTCTCTCTCTTATGATAATAGTATGTTCTTAAGTTCACTAATGATGAAAAGGACTGTCGTTTTTGAATAAAGCAAGAAGAACAACAGTGGTGGTTTGTGCAAAATAATATGGTACCATCATTTATTTCGTAGGCTTCTCATCAGCTCAGCTGCTTACAGCCTAAATAAATTATGAGGTTTGCGTACAGAAAATTTTTAACATACTTGCAAATTTTTACATGTTGCCAGTTGACAAAAAGTTCCACAGTAAGTGAACAGTGCTCAGAAAATTGCGCTTATATAGTTTTTACACAGGCAGTTCAAGTTTAAACAAAATAGATGTATGCATACAATGGTAAAAGAGTTACGTAATAAAGACGAAATATGAGTTAGATACAGAGTGACTAATAAATTAGGTAACAATGTACTGAGTTCAACTCAAATCATAGAAACAAGAGACAAGCAAAATTACAGAATATAAAAGGGGGTGAGGTTAAAGACAAAGATTACGTAATCAGATGAGAGAGAGATTTTAAAGGTAAAAACATTGCAGAAATGGGCAACAGAAGACTGAGAACGTCACTAGCCAGAGCCTATCCTGCAGCTGGCTAATTTGGTTCCTGTCTATCGAACAACTTGCTGTTTGGTGCAGTCAAAAGTCGATAGATACCCTTCTCATTTTAACTCCAACTGTGTATACAAATTTACATGTATCTGCGGGAGCAGTTACATTGGGAGAACAGAAAGAAGGGTACACCTCCGATTTTCTGAACATGTATCGAAAAGCCTACGTCTCAAGGGAACAAACTCTTATAGTAACGCTATTACTAGACATCTCCTCGATACGGGTCTTGAGGTAGAAATCGAGAAATCCTTTAAAATTATCAATAGACAAAGGAGTTCCATTCTCCTCAAGTTTGCCGAAGCAATCTCTATCAAACGCTTGAAACCAGATTTATGTGTTCAGAAAGAAGCAGTTATTAATCTTTCTTTGCCCTGGTAACTGAATGTCTTTATTCTCTCATCTGATTACGTAATCTTTGTCTTTAACCTCACCCCCTTTTATATTCTGTAATTTTGCTTGTCTCTTGTTTCTATGATTTGAGTTGAACTCAGTACATTGTTACCTAATTTATTAGTCACTCTGTATCTAACTCATATTTCGTCTTTATTACGTAACTCTTTTACCATTGTATGCATACATCTGTTTTGTTTAAACTTGAACTGCCTGTGTAAAACTACTACATAAGCGCAATTTTCTGAGCACTGTTCACTTACTGTGGAACTTTTTGTCAACTGGCAACATGTAAAAATTTGCAAGTATGTTAAAAATTTTCTGTACGCAAACCTCATAATTTATTTAGGCTGTAAGCAGCTGAGCTGATGAGAAGCCTACGAAATAAATGATGGTACCATATTATTCTGCACAAACCACTTTTGTTCTTGCTTTATTCAAATTCATCAAGGGGAATAAATGACTGTCGTTTTGTTAAATCACTGTCTTGTTGTTTTTATAATGTTATAATTTCTTTATTATTATTACTATTATTTGTTTCTGTATTTGTCTCGGGGTGCTCTCTTTTTATTGCTTTCTTGCGCTTATTTCAGTTCAACCGGGCTATGTGATGATGTGAGCGATACTCTCGAAACGCTCCAACCCTACGCCTATCTCTCTCTCTCCACTTCTCTGTCCACTGGTTAATGGTAATCAACTATAATAATATATAAAAAAATATCTAGCACTCACAATTTGTTTTGGTTTTTATTTTTCGGGTTGTTTTTTTACTGTAACTTTTAATTTTTTTCTAAAAATGTGAATGAATGGTCACCTTATTGTTTGTCCTTTTCTTCTTCTTCTATTTTAATTGGTTGATTTTATGGTAGCGCTCTCGTATACATACTCCTTAGAAGAGGGAGAGAGGGTACCATAAAGAAATCGATTTAGCCGATTGTTTGTCATGTCTATTTAATTGTTAATGGTTGCGTTGATGTGTGTGTGTGTTCGTTCGTCTGTAACCTTCCCATTTTTGTTTTCTCTCATACATACGTGTTTTTTTTAAAGTAGCACTTGCATTTGCACTTTTTGTGGTGACTTTGTCCTTGTATATACATCCATACGTACATACATATATATCTACGTTTTTCTCAATCCTTTTGCGCCGATTATGATACCAGTATCTCCTCAGCACACTGTTCGCCGCGCTTCGTGCTTTGCTCGCTTAATTTGTTTGTCTGTTAATTGAATCAAAAATTGCTGAAGTCTACTTCATTTCTAACCTTTTGCTTCTTCTCCTTTTTTCTTTTTGTCCTTGCCTTTACCAAAACACAAAAAACAAACACAACATTCCAGACCAATCAAGAGTCCAGTACTACAAAAGGTAAAGAAGAAAGTCCACCAGATCGGATTGTAGCATCATATGCTGCTGCAGCGCATGCAGCTGCATTAGCCTGTCATCAACCGATATCTAGAGCTGCTGAAGCCTATTTAGCAACAACCTCGAACAGTCGATCAAGGCATTCATCAAAACGGTCTCGAACTGTAAATCATCATTTGATAAGTACAGCAGCCGCAGCAGCAACAGGAACAACAACTACCACAACCACGTTTACGGGGAATAATAAATCAAATATTATTAATTATGCTACATCACTGTCTAGTTTAGCGTTATTACCGTCAACGACAACATCTCTTATTCCATCGGAGACAAATTCTGAGGAGTCACATCAAGGCTGGACTCGTAGAGTTGATCGGAAAACTAATAATGTTGTGTATATATCGTAAGTCTTATAAGCATGATATATATATATTTCTTTTCATATATTATTTTGATGGAATGCTACCTGAAGAAGTGACCATCTTTTCACATTTTGTTATTCATCAGCAGTCCTTTGTATCCTCCTCTATGGCTGTCAGTGAAACCTGGCCATTGAGAGTGGAAGACATGAAAAGGCTAGCTGTCTTTGATCATAGGTGTCCGTGTTCTATCTCCTCGGTGAAGTGGCATAGCAAGGTGAGCAATATTGAGGTTAGGCATCGGTTGAGTGCTAGGTAAGGAGGGAGGGGAAATCAACAGACGAGGCTGTGAAGTAACATCCATTAAGATGGTTAGGGCATGTGTTACGTATGCCTGGCCTAGCCATCGCCTTCCTCGACAAAGGGCAATGTTAGCTGACATACGGTCAAGTTGGAGAAGAGCTAGTGGTGGTCAAACGAAAACATGGTTTCATCAGTCAATGAAATCCACAACAGTTAGTTTAGGCCAACTGGTCACGTAGGGAGGGAGGTGTAGACTTCCTAACTGGTTTGGGTCCTCGGGATTGTAAGGACCAATGAAGACTGGAGGCAATTGGTCATATGACTCAAAATCGTCGTTCTCAATGGCTGTCGCAGCTGCATTCACTCACTTTATGATTTATAATATCCATTAAAATTCTATTGTTCTTCCATATTACTATTCTTCCTCCCTCACTCGTACTTATGTTTATTATCTCTCTTTCTTTTTAATCTCTCTTTACTCTCTCTTCTTTCTCTTGCTTTGTGTGCTACAAGGAGGGAGTGTGACAACTGGAACTGCTGTACTTCTGTACAAATTTCCATACTGAATCCACTCAGTCAGTGAAAACTGCTCATGGTCATCGAGTAATCTAAATTGCATGAGGTACTTCAGATTATGTCAACTTGATAATATTAATAATAATAAGAAAAAAAAACACAAGTAAAGGAGTAATTAGGATTGGAATTATTTTTTTTGCCAACATGTGCTTAATAGGCAATTTTCTCTCATTATGTTGACCTTTGGTCGACAGCCAGTCGGATATCACGTCTACGCCAGACATGATGTAAGTTGTCATGTGCCAAAGGAGCCTTCTTCATTCGTGCTGGGATCTCGTGAGCGATCAACCCGCTGGCATCGGCTGATGCAACTTCCCAAATAAGTGAAGTGGTCAACATGCTCCACCAACCACTTCACTTCCTGTCTTCAAGTTGCGAGACAATGTAGTCCAGTCCTGTAGCATCATCTTACATCTGACAGGAGTAGTTTTAACCGAAACTGTGTCTATAATACTACCTAGATATACAAACTTTAAAAAAGTTCAGACCATGGTAGAATAGGAGACTTAACAGACCTTTTCTGCGTATCGAGTTCGGGGTTATATCGACGAATAACTAGCGCCTCAGCTATAAGAGGGTGAGTAATATTAAGGTTAAGCGTTGAGTGTTAGGTAAGGAGGGAAAATCGATCGACGAGGTCGTGTTACTCATATCCAACCATCGCCTTCCTCAACGGAATACGCTAACTGACATAGAATCAGGCTGAAAAAGGACCAATGGTGGTCAAACCAAAACATGGAATCAGTCAGCGAAGTTCATAACAGTCAGTTTAAGTCAGACACATAAGGCGGTGTAGACTCCCCGACTGGTTCGCGGGTCGTTGGGATGGTACGATCCAATGAAAGCTGGAGACAATTGATGCTGTGGTTGAAAATCATTCTCAATGTCTGGCGCAGATGCATTCAATCTTTGTGATTTGTTACATCCATATTACTGGTTTTTTTTGCATCACACTTCTGTTTATCACCTCTCTTTACTCTCTTCTTTCTCTTGCTTTGTGTGCTACAAGGAAGTAGTGTGGCAACTGGAACTGCTGCACTTCTGTGCAAAATTCTATCTTGAAAGCACTCAGTTCAGTGAAAACTGCTCCTGGTCATCGAGTAATCTAAGTTGCATGGGGTACTTCAGATTATGTCAACTTAATAATAATAATAATAAGTAAAACAGTAATTAGGATTGGAATTATTTTTTTTTACCAACATGCTAAATAGGCAATTTTCTCTCGTGCTGTTGACACTTTTTTCTTTTGTTCTTCTGTCTTTTGTCTACCTCACACACAGGTCTGATGGTATTCATATGCGTAATATTGATGATGTGTACGCCTATTTATCAGCGAAATACCCGTCAGAGTGTTGTTTGAGTAATCCAAGCGTTAAAGAAATGATTGCAACCCAGTTTATATTTACCCCAACAAATAATAGTAATAACACCATACATTCACTTGCAGATACAATAAAGTTTGTGCATAGTTTACAAGTATCTGCTTTAAAGAATAATACAAAACACGATGATAATCATGATGGCAATACTGTAAGTCAACTGAACACTACTCACTCTCCAAGCAAATCATCTACTACTGAAAATAGTGTACATAACTACTCATCGCCAGAGAAGACATCCTGTAAGTTTTTTATTTTCACAATTCACTTATATATTTCCTTTTTTATGTTTTTACGAGTTGATCACGGATTGATATCAGTTAGAGAACCATTGAAAACCAGTACTGGAGTACTGGACAGCTGCTGTTTCATCCCAGTAGTTTGGGAATCATCGGCAGTACGCACCCACTGCCAGGGTTCGAACCCAGGACCTTCCGGTTACAAGGCCAGCAAGCTCGTATACCATTCAGCCACTGGGACCCGATTCCTCAATGGCCAGCCCATGAATTCTAACTTCTACCAATTCGTGATTTAGCGCGACCCCAACCATTGTCGTTAGTGGGACATCCATCCACACACGTGACATCTAATTGGACCTCACTGGTCACGACTTCTCACTAGAACTTACTCCAGAGGAAACTCCATCCTGTAGCAAGTCACTAGCGAGCATCAGATTAATTTTCTATAGTTTGGTTTGTAAGGGTTAGTTATGTTTTTACGAGTTGATCACGGATTGATATCAGTTTCTAGTAAATACAGTGGAATTGTGGCTTGTTGATGTTTGTACTCAAATTTTATGCAGAAGTATGCCACAAGTTCGAATCCCTGTTTATTTAATATGGTAGCTAGTAGTTGTCAAATGAGATTGTTCACAGTTGCTTCACTTTCACTTAGGAGGAGATCCCAATGGTACGAATGCGTAGACAACCAGTTCAGCTCAGGCTACAGAGTAGAGTAGTATCACTAGCTCCAACTGTCTGTATAAGTGATCGAAATACTCCGGAGAAGTTATGCTGACTGCAGATCCTGCCGTGTTAGAAAAGTCGACTGAATAATGGTTAAACTGATAGCAGTTGCCATTGTAGTTTAAGTGGCTTATACTATTATATTAGGTGTATGTGTGTGTGTGAAGGAGAAGTCTCACTGCTGCTAAATAGAGGGTGTGACTGCATTCAGATGTTTCCGCTGTAGACAGGTGTTACAAAGCTTGCGTCATTTATAGAAGCTGCAATAAGAAATCTCCCTCTCCATTTTCGAATTCCTTAGAATCTTTTTTTTTTAATGTGTTCGGGGATTTTCATGCTTGTCAAAAGTAACAAGCTAATTGTGATGTAAAAAAGTGTATGTGAATCCCCGTAGAACTTTAATTTGCACTAATTAGCTGTAATCATGATTGACGGTCTCAGCAAGTCTACTGATAAATTGTAAGCAAGTGTTCATTACGTGTGCACTAAAGAATTACTGTTTTTTTTCAAGTATTGGTTTTTGTAGGGACTTTCTCGTTTGATTGGTTGGAGGATTTTTATTTATTTATTTTTTATTTTCTTACTTTATATAGATTCCTCTGGATCTCTAAGGCTTATGCTAGGTCTTTTATACTTAGGAAACAAGCAAACACAAAACCATAGCTTGTACAAAGGTTTGGATACTGCTTGGGCGCCCAGATCACAGCAGGTGGTTGTTTTAAGGCACCAACTCTGAGCCGTCGGTTTGAAGTTTAATCCAAAAGTCAGTGGAACTACGTTCTCATTGTTTACTGGTGACCAAAACAGATTCATGCACCATTCGATCCGTTGGAATTCTGGCGTCCAGCTCTCTTAGGTACACTAGCGTGTTCACTAGTCCAGTTGTAAGAACTAGACATTCGCGTCCACCCTATCACCTCCATGTGAACACGTAGCCACATGAGAGCATTTTGAAAGGGAACTGAAGTCCACCTACCCTTGACCGTACCAGGTTTTAATGGGTGTTTAAAGTGTTCGGCACTAATGCAAAGTCAATCGACAACATCGTGAAACTGTATCGATTATGATGTCTAGAACTCATATTACTCACAACATACGAGCACCTTCCCCGCTGAGCAATGTTAGTTGGCATACGATTCAGTTGGAAAAGAGTTAAAGGTGGTTAGCCCTTTAACATGGCATCAAGCCATAAAGAATTTGACTGTTGGTGGTTTGAGGTAGCCATGTAGTGAGGTGTGAACTGCTGCCTGGTTGAGGTATTTGAGACTCCTAGAATTTTCAAGTATTGGTTTTGTAGGGATTTTGTTTGATTGGTTGGAGGATTTCATCATGAACTGACATCAGTTAGAGAACCACTGGAGTACTGGACAGCTGTTTCGTCAGCTTAGTTTGGGACTCTTCATCAGTACGCACCTACCGGGGTTCAAACCCAGGACCCCCTGGTTACAAGGCGAGCTCGTAGACCATTGAGCCACTGGGGCCCAATCCAATGGACCATGAATTCTAACCTCTACCAATTCGATAGGTTACCGCCTTATCTTCAACCTGCTGTACCCTACTGGTCACGGCTTCCCACTAGAACCCCAGGTCACTGCCTGAATAGAGCCAGTCGCTAGTGAGCATCAGACTAATTTTCAAGTATTTGTTTTGTATAGATGTAGTTTGATTGGATGGGGTTCGAACCCCGCGATGTGGGCGCATACTGCTGAAGAGTCCCAATCTAGACTGACGAAACAGCTAACTGTTCAGTACTCGCAGGTGGTGGTTTTCCAATACATCCCTAACTGATGTGTCAGCTCATGATGAAATCCTCCATCCCTTCATAGAATTGTTGGTTTTAGCGGCTGTCGATAGTACTTTACTTTACTCTACTTCGGCTATCTCCTACGGGAGGATGAGCCGGCTTCATGAACATCTCGAATCATCGCTGCCCAGGCGCGGCGATCTGATCCAAGGTTTTGCGTCGTTTGTAAGAGAGTTCATGAAGTTTCATGGGAATTTGGTACAAGTGATGTCCCCAGAATCGCGCGGCCTTTTGTTTGAGAGTGCAGCTCTAGCCTTTACACAACCAAGTGTGACCTACAAGGCAGTAGGAGTGGAGTAGGGAGTCCACTATCCATTGGCAGCCGGTGACCGGAGTTCGGTTCATACACCTTTTTGAATGGGGCCAGACATCCAGGACATCCAACAAGCCCTTTGTCCATACGTCTTTCGGTGAGCTCCAGTGAGCTTCATACGCCAGTCGTTGGAGGTTTGGAATCAGGGTTTAGCCATCTCCCCTAGACTGTCATCCAATGGACAGTCAACCTGGTGAAGAGCGCCGGGCATCCGCTTTCGCCCTCTCACTTTGGTGAGAAACACCTCCGCCACGTGAAGGCAGTGAGTAGGACTTCCTCAGGAGAGGCTATGTAAGACGCCCGGTCATATGGGAGCATTTCAAGAGGTGTGAGGAGGGGTGGCCAACCCGCAGCGCAAGGCACCCACCCCCGACCATCCTGAGGCTTTGGAGGCTGTGTGTGTGTGTGTGTTTAAATTCGCTTTCAGTGGCGATCAATCTGTCAAACGTTTCTTTCATATGGCTAATTGTCACTGTATCGTTTGTTTATTTTTACTTCTGCTGTAGCCATTTGTCGTATAAATTTCAATCCTGATCATCATTCAGCAAATTATGGTACTTTACCAGCAGCGAAACGATCAAAATTATCTGATGATACAACTTCTTGTGCTGCTGTGAATGGCGGCGAGTCTAACGGATTGTCTGTATCATTATCATCATCGTCGTCAAGTGATGATTATTCCACTGTCTGTTGTTCCACACAGTCCTCTATTTCTTCTGCTTCTTCCAATCCTATTGAATGCTCTGTAAAACAGGATCTTTCAAATGTGAGCAATACTCTTGACACTTTGACAACAGATGATAGAGCAGCGTGTTGTATACAGTCGAGTGATGTCGACAGGGATCAATGCCACTCAACGCCACTGGCAAACAATCGAGATTTCAACAATAATAATAATAACAACAGTGATGAAACAATTCCAACGTCGTTGTCCACCAACACGACTCATACAAATGATTATGATGGTGATATATCTAATAGAACTAGTCAAAATAACATTGTACAGAATGGTAATATTAATAATAATAGTAATAATATAATTGCAAAGCTTACCACTGAAACCCTGACAACTGGTGCTCTGCGTACATCTATGCCATCATTTACCACTGAAATTGTCCCGTCAGTTTTTGCACCCAATAACAAACAAGTAGTAGATTTAACAAATTTACAGATGACAGATGATCCGTGTCAGCTGAATTTGATCACTACTGGTTCATTGAATGCTTTACAACAACAACACAACGCAACAACTTCATCCTTTACTGCTTGAGCAGATATTAGCGATAAACCGATTGGCACATATTCAACAACAACAACAACAACAACAAGTGAACACTACTCAGTTGACAACGCCAATGTTGAGTGTTTCATCATTATTGCCAACACAGAATACTACAGAAATCAATAGCTTAGGTGGTAGTAGTAGTGGTAGGGTTTAAGCCAACAGTCGTTATCATCGTGGATATCGAATCTACAACCGACAACTACACGGATAACATCATTGCAAGAGTTGGCAATGAATAATAATCCTGCTGTTAACAGTTTGAGTATTGGTGCCGTCCTTCAACAGCAGCAGCATCAGGTCCAACAACAACTGTTGGCTCTTGCAGCTTTACAACAACAACAGCACCAACAACATCAGCAGCAGCAACATCAACAACAACAACAAGCTCAGTTTCTGGCTGTACTCCAAGCTGCCGCCTTACTACAACAACAACAACACAGCAGCAGCAGAGGAGTAATAATAGTTCGAATAGTTTGGCAACTGTTCTGGCATTACGCCAACAACAGCAACAACAACAACATTTGGCAGTCGCTGCTGTCCAAGCTCAAACCTATCTCGCCGCCTTTCAACAGCAACAACAACAGCAGTTACAGCAACAACAGCAACACCAAAACCAACAGTTCGCTAATTCACATAATACTTAAGTGTGTGTTGTAAACTTGGTTGGTTCCACACTAACTGCCTTGTTTGTTTGATTGATTGATTGTGCTCAATTGAAAAATACATTGCTGATATCAAAACAAACAAATCACATATCTAGTAATCGTAATAATATTATTAATAATAATATAAAATTTGTCTTTCGGTTGGCTAATTTTATAAATTATGATTTTTACTCCTCATCTATTATTTTCCTCTATTGCATTTCTGCCCACCACTAGTCTTGAATTTCTTCTTTTTTTTGAAAACAGCGCCAAAAAGTAGAGTAGTATGTTGTACATAACACACATACGATGATTATGTGTATGTACACTACTACTCTTGTATGTCTCCTGGCGTGTGTTTGTGTGAGTGTGCGTGCGTGTGTGCAGTTGATTAGCTCCCTCTTTGGCTGAACATTTCGCCTATTTCATGCCTAAGAGTGTTTTTTTCTCTATGCATAAACCTTTAAATTCATTGTTTATATTCTTTTTTGTGGGGTGGGGTACTGCCGGTATTCGCATTTTTACTATTATTATTAATATTAATGATAATAATAATATTATTATTATTATATTCTCATTTTATCCCTTGTATAGTTTGGGAGGCGGGGGGGGGGTTTACTCTCCCTATTTCTCTCTTGTTTTATCTTATGAGAGATAAGTCTGTCTTTTTATTTTTATTTTATCTCTCCTGTTTATAATATTGTGTATATTTACTCATTATTATTATTATTACTATTATTATTATTATTGTTCTATCCTGGTTTCAGCTCAAACAGTTTATTGAATCTTTCATGTTATATTATAAATCAAACATAATAATATACTATGATGTGTACGTATACACCATTTCAATTTCTAATTATTTATTTTACGAGTTGATCTTGGACTGATATCAGTTAGAGAACCATTGAAAACCAGTGGGTACTAGACAGCTGCTGTTTCATCCCGTAGTTTGGGAATCATCGGCAGTACGTACCCACTGGGATTCGAACCCAGGACCTTTCAATGGTTCTCTAACTGATATCAGTCCGTGATCAACTCGTAAAACATAACTAACCCTTACAAACCAAACTATAGAAAATTAATCTGATGCTCACTAGTGACTTGCTACAGGATGGAGTTTCCTCTGGAGTAAGTTCTAGTGAGAAGCTGTCACCAGTGAGGTTCAATTAGATGTCACGTGTGTGGATGGATGTCCCACCAACGACAATGGTTGGGGTCGCGCCAAGTCACGAATTGGTAGAAGTTAGAATTCATGGGCTGGCCATTGAGGAATCGTGTCCCAGTGGCTGAATGGTATACCAGCGTGCCTTGTAACCGGAAGGTCCTGGGTTCGAATCCCTGTAGTGGGTGCGTACTGCCGATGATTCCCAAACTAGGATGAAACAGCAGCTGTCCAGTACTCCAGTGCTGGTTTTCAATGGTTCTCTAACTGATATCAATCCGTGATCAACTCGCAAAACATAACAAACCCTTACAAACCAAACTATAGAAAATTATTTATTCATTTATTTCACAGGCAGTTGTGTTTATTGTGTTTGTGGGGTAGGGTGGGGTGGGTGAAGTTGTCTCCTTTTGAGTAATAATAATCTACTTTATTCCAAAAAAACAGTACTTATAATACAGAATGGAATTCTCAGCATTTGTCACAATATTGCATCTGATTTACTCAAAATATAAATAAAATTAAAAGTTAAAACAAAATTAACCAGAGGAATTTGTCCACATTTACGACATAAAATCAAAAATATTCGAAGCACGAATTGAGATTATTAAATATAATAATAATAATAATAGTGAATTTGTTTCAAACGGTATTGTCGATTCAGTTTGGAAACTTTAGCATGTTATAGATTATTGGGTCTAATGTTCTGTTGATATAGCAGCATAGTGAGGGGAAATACAAAATTGACAGTTATAACACAGCTTAAATGATGTTCACACTTAAGAAAAAAAATAAACAAACAAAGAATTAAGAGGATTATAAATATAGGAAGTACAATAACAATAAAGGTTGATGTTGTAAGGATGGAGGAAAATGGTTTATTTAATAGTGCAAAGAAGGTTAGTTAGTTCATGCCTAACACTATTTTCATCACATAAAATACGTGCCACCAAATATGGTATAGTGGAATTTTCAATACTTAGACGTATGTGCATAAAGTCTTCTGAAAAGACTTCTTGTTTTACCTGAGGAGACGCAAGGTTGAAGCTGCGGGTGCTCAGAGTCTGACAAAATTCCTTTAGCGAATTTGTTGCATGACATCAAGTGCCTATCAGTGACAATGTCTACGATATGGCGTTTATTTAATGTCTCTCTGTTTTCTGTAATTCTTTTTAAATAAGACGTATAATTTGCGCATGTGTGCGTACAGCCTCCAAGATGTGTGTTTCAGCTTTCTTTTACCTTGCATAGTTTATTGAATTGAATAATAATAATAAATAAATTTGTTGCACTAATATGGAACTTGAATATATTATATTGATCATTTCGAAAGACAGGGGGGGGTGATTAGTTGGTTCTGTAATGTTGTGGTGGTGGTGATGAGTCTCATCTAGCCTCGTGGTGACCGATTGACCACCACCTTACAAACTGTACTGATGTACGTACTAGTCTGTCAGCATTAACTCTAAAGACCAAAGCTATGGCTCTGAAACATGGCCAATACGAGTTGAAGACATGAAAAGGTTGACTGTTTTTGATCATAGATGTCTATGATCTCTTTCCCACGTTAGGTGGTATAATAAGGTAAGTAATGTTGACGTTAGGCGTAAAGTGTTGGTTGGGCAAAGAGGGAAAATCAATCGAAGAGGCTATAAAGTTACCTAGATTGAAATGGCTAGGTGACGCGCTGCGCATGCCTAACCATCGCCTCCCCCGATGGACGGGCATTACTAGCTGATATAGGTAGGTGCAGGTTGGAAAAGAGTAAGTGGTGGCCAAACAAAAACATGGCCTCATCAATCCATGAAATCCCTGACAGTTAAACTGAGTCAGGTAGGGAGATGCAGACTTCCGGGTTGGGGCCCGCTCTCGGGACTCTAAGAATCAATGGCTGGAGACAGACAATAGGTGACATGGCTGAAAATCGTTGTCAATGGCTTACGCAGATGTATTCAGTCTCTGTAATCTTTCGTATTCCTTTCTACCATTACTCATTCTGTTTCACTCTTATACTTATCTAAATTCTATTGATTCTCTTCTCTCATTTTCCTGTCTACCTTTGTGTGCTATTTGGAATGTGGCAACTCGAACTGCTGCACTTCGGTGCCAAGTTCTATGTTGAATCCAGCAGCAGCAGCGTATGTGTGTGTACAGCCTCCAAGATGTTTGTGGCAGCTTTCTTTTACCTTGCATAGTTTATTGAATTGAATAATAATAATAATAAATAAATTTGTTGCACTAATATGGAACTTGAATATATTATATTGGTCATTTCGAAAGACGGGGGGTGTGTGATTAGTTTGTTCTGTGATGTTGTTGTGGTGGTGGTGAGTCTCATCTAGCCTCGTGGTGACTACCGATTGACCACCCTTACAAACTGTACTGATGTACGTACTAGTCTGTCAGCATTAACTCTAAAGACCAAAGACATGATATTATTTATTATTATTCCTTAGGGTTCCGAGCGGAACATTGGGCTTCAACAACACATCTCCACTTTGTTCTATTTCCTGCTGTCGTTATCAGCTGGGTCCACGATTGACTATAATCTCTCATCCCCGCCCCCCCCCCAACACACGATCTACTCCATGTCATCCTTGCATTGATGACCCACTCGTCGCTTCCCATTTGGATTCCACTGGAACGATGGCCTGTGTTGAGAGCGATGTCATTCAATGGCCTCCTCAATAGATGCACGATCCATCTGCAATTTCTCCTACATATTTGTTGCTCAATCAGCTCTTGCCTGTTGGTGTGTTCATCGCCAGAGTTTCTTGTCGCTAATTCTTCAGTATGGAGCCAGCCAGAGAAGCGGGCAGCTGTTGATAAAAGTCTCAACTTGTTGGAAATCCTTTTCGTGACTCACGCGCATAGAAGAAATGACTGACTTCACATTTGTGTTGAACAGAATCCAAATCTTGTTTTTTGTGCCGGCTAACTGAGTGCAGAAAATTTTCAAACTGGTTTCAGGTTGATGAAGGTGTATCTTGCATTTCCGATTCTGGCCAGCTTTGACATCATCCGTGCTGTTCGCTCGTGGTTGAAACCGTGCTTCCTGGCCAGATAAGGAGGTGTTTTTTCCCTTCACGTTCCCCAGTGGAACATAGGGCTTCAAGCTAGTGGCTTGAAGTTTTTGTAGCAGTGTTTATTTTACAGTATGGGGTCGCTAGCCTCAT